CAGCAACCATTCGTAAATTGTAATATTATATTATATTTATATCAAAACGTCTCTGCATTWTTGCTTCGATTATTATCAACTTTTTCTTTTGTTTTTTTCTCTTGTTCGCTGTTTAATACTTTAACACGTACATTTTAACGGTCTAACTACGTAGTAACCGTCGTCTAGTAAAATGTTGAATTTATCCCATGAGAACCCTTCATCATTTTAACTCTCGGTATACCTTTCTCCACTTCAACCATTATACATATTTTGACCCTGTAGTGTTCATTTAAATCACAATGATTTTTTTTTTAAGCAATTTATATATTTTAATACTCTTTCAGTACGTTTTGGTTTTGTGTTTAGTTAAAAACAAACTTCTTTCATTAAATTTGTATTCATTATTCTTAATTATTTCACTGTGAATTGTTAACAGTCAATCGCAGTCAAATATTTAGGTAACCACTTTATGTAAGTTTTAATTCAATTATAAAGTATGTGATATGACGTATGTATTTAATAATCATATAGTTATTTATATTGAAGTCATATTTAAATAGTATTATATATAGATATCAAATTAAAACTAATGTTTAAAAAAATACAATGTTTTCCTTTGAATTACTTCAATTTTGAAACAATTACATAGGCGATACCTAACTAATTAGGTCATAGGTAATTCATTATATGAAGTTTAATCGTTTAATATTAAAACCCTAACAGTTGAAACTAAATAAATATATATTACTATTTTTGCATTTACTTTAATTCATATTATTGTATGATTACCATTCATGAACTTCCTATTTATAGTTTTTGAAAATGCTAGTTATTTGGTAAATTATTAAATATAATATTTAATTTACCAATAAGATATATTTTAAATAAATAAATGCATTATTTAAACATTATCATAATGCAATCTGGGTAATAATAAGTGTGGTTATATTGTTACTTTTACATAAAGTGTAAAATATAAACAAGCGTAGACTATATTAAGTGATATTTACAGTTGAAACATATTTTTACTTTGATATCTGGTGCATTTTTGTTGCTATTCAAGAACGAATTAAATAATACGGTGACCTTAATTATATCCCTCGTTGCCGTGATCTACCCGGCATATATTTTGTCCACATTGAAACTGTTAAATATTATGAATATTCAACGATAATTAATCAAGTTTAACGAGACGACAACTGCGACAATAACAATAAATCAATCTGTATGCCTGATGAAAAGTCTAGTGTTGTATTATATTGCAGTAGAAGAGCGAAAATCTCAAAATTCACAATACTAAAATATTATATTTAAAAAAAAAAACCATTTTGTTCTCTTTAAAGTTAGTGGTGAAACCAACCGGAAATGATCGATAGGTATACTTCACCGTTCACATAAAGCTCATAATACTATAATATACGTACGGTTATCTCATTATGACGACATAATTATTCTAACGCCCCAATGTGTCCGATTCAAATATATACCACCCAACATTTTATATATATATCCTGGACGGCCGTTATATTATTATATTGGCTGTTTGGAGAACTATTATTACAAACCATTTCAAAACAGCATCCGATACAACCATATCGTTTTCAAACAGCTTTAAGCCATTTGACACTGTTGGAATGTTATGTYCTGGGACAGTTTTACGAGTTTCATTTAGTAGTCATCCGATACCCATACGCACATTATTATATTTAGATTGTATTGGCGTGTGGGTATAAAAGTTCAACGGCGCCTCAATGATGCCGTAAATATACCAAGATCTCGAGAATAATAGCCATTCAATTATATTAATAAAAACCATTAACGTCACATGAATGCTCTATATATACATACGCCTCGATCGTTCTCCATTCTATTCATTTTAATAATTATCTTAAGACACTACTGAATTTAAATCATTCATTTATTAAACCGTATTAAATTTAACTCGTGTTCTGCGTCTTACTCTGAAATAAATACTTTGATCGTTATAAATGCAATATACTACTTACAATTTTGCACAATTTTGCACAATTTTGCACATATTTGCTTTTATGATTATGTTAGGCATAAAAAGATATATGTATTTTCTATTGTATGTTTTACGTGAATATACAGAACAAATAGGTATAGTATTTTACACAGTAAGAAWCAAATGAATACTCGTCCAWAAATTATTTAGTACTTGAGAAAAAAATAATATTATCATGTTACAACTTTAATAGGTACCGAATAAATAATTAATATCCATATATTTTCCAACGAATATTATTATATAATTATTAAATTTTAATGTATATGTGTTCTTTTGAAACACCAAGGACAAAATCTTCTGTGGAGATTATCGTAATCCTGTATTCAGAAACTTTTGAATCCGAAAATCCTTAGCAGGTTTCGGACCCTTATTAATTTTTGACCTTATAAATCTTTTCTACGAGAATTTCAGATGATACAAGATAGTTAAGCCCAAAACACACTCGATAGAGCTTCGAAGAGGAGATTAGTGTTGTGGCATCAATTAAGATAGCAGAAAATTACAATTAGTCACTTTAATCTCTTAAAAGTCGTTGATCAATTTTCCAAAGAACAAAGTAAATCTCTTATCTCTAAGGCCTTGACTATATTGGTTAAGTATTAAATTGGAATTTTATTTATTTACTATTTAATTAGAAGAGACATAGACATATTAAAGACAATTATTTCAACGTATACAATTTTTAATTAAAAATAATCAATCTTTAATAAGTAGGTATATTGTTGTTCATGCATTTATTTTTTAAACTATATTAATATTATGTTGAACAAAGTAAAATGATTTTTCATACTACTAAAAAACTCAGTACGTTGTATGTAAACTATACTATTGCTATAGAAAATAAAGTGTCCATAAATTTATGAAAAAAATTTATAGGACAGATCTAAACTAAAGGGGTACTTGTTTACTATCGCCGCACYAGTACAAATGATCTCTCAGCCACTCTTGTTTGTTATCGCCCTGCCATAAATAAAATATATTATAATATAATTAAATTAAAAATCAAACATTTAAAAAAAATGTATGATTATAAATTTGAAAAAAAATAATACAAATTTACAAAAGAGGCCATTTAAATTTAAAAAATGTATTATTATTATAAATTTAAAAAATAAAAATGATATAGATTTACAAAGGAGGTCAGAACTCAGAAAAATCTTATAACAGTTAAAAGTTAACAGTTTCAAAAGCCAGCAACGTACTAATAATATATTATTATGATATAAAATGTCTCACAAAATCTAGTTATTTCCTACAATATTTCCCAAAATAGATTATCTATCACAAGCTAAACACGATAGCTAAAACATGGCGGGACGATAACAAAAGAGAGTGGCGGGGAGATAGATTTTATACGGTGTACTGGTGGGACGATAACAGACAAGTACCACTAAAGGAAACATCATCAGTGAATATTTACAAAAAGTACCAAAATATCAACGTTGTACATGCAAATTCAATAAACGAATTAATTTCACATTAGCGAAAACTAAATATCAAGTAGATTTTAATTTTAGTTTTTGATAATAACTACATAATATCGCCTTAAAAATTAAAGCATAGCATATTATAAATATATATATATTTAGACATGCCATAACGAAAATAACATGTGTCACGTCCGTCTGGTAGTATTATCCGCGTATACGTAAAGAGATTTATTTAAAGGAGAATTTCTGTCGACAACTTTTTTACGTCAACTGACCTTAGTTAACTGCCTATTGGTTAATTTTTCAACTTCAATGGTTGAAGGTACTTGTGCGAAAATTGCGTGAGCTTTCTTTTCATTTTAATTTTATTAATATTATTACCATGGTCGGATTTAAGTTTTGCATATAACATGATATAATAAAAAACTAAAATTAAATTTAAAATTGAAATAGTATTCAAAATCATCAAAAACAATCATAATACATATACATTTAACAAAATAAATTATTGAATATTTTATTGATATCATTTTACTAAGCATAAATGTATAATATATTTTATGTACCTATATATTGTTAAATAAAAAAGTCATATCTATTTACATTTCATATTTGCATTCCGTCGTCTCTATTACAGTTCTATTTAATTTAAAATATCTCAAAAATTTATCACCATACTTTTTGAATACTTAGCTAGGTGTCATGGGAGTTACAATAATTTAACTAACAAAGCATATTAAATTACCCTACCAACATCGAAGAAGCGCTTAGAGGGACCAACACTGATGTAATATTCAATTTTTTCCATGCCACTATCTATCCAATCTATTATAAACTATTATTTGTAAATATTTTCTATGTACATAACCAAGTAAAAATACGTCTAAGCTATCAAACACTAATTCTACAATGTGAAACTTTTACAGGCTAATTACTTCTACTGTCGAAGCCTTTACTCTTATTTAAAAAAAGAAAAATAATAATTTAACTAGGTACCTAGATATAAAAAATGCATCGCAGGTATAATATGTATTTTAATCAATCCCTCATTCTTTCTGTTGATCATCGCGTACTTTATCACCAAGCGACATAGAACGACTAATAATTATTTATTGTGCAACTCTTAATCGGCCCATGTCATTCAAATTTTTGAAATGTTTGATATTTTTATAATTTAGGAACTGTGGTTTATTTCACTCATGAAACATTTATCCTATATTAATTACTTGAGTTTTAAATTGTAATATTATGTATTTGTATTATTTTTAACTATTCACGTATGTAACTGACTTGTAAATAATTTATTTTTAATTGTTAACAGTGATCAGTAACGTTATCATATCAAAAGTAGTATTTATTGGGAACATGCTATTAAATTTCTATTATTTAGGCTATTTAAGTAGGTATACTTGTGAAATAAAACATATCTTATAATTATATTTATAATAAATTATAATAAATCAAATTGCTTTATTCCGCATGTGGAAAAAGTTGAGATTCAATGATATTCAAAATTTGTTTTGTTGACATAGTAGGTATGTAATTTATTAARATCTCACCGGTAAGATAAGTTTCCRCCTCAGATGTCCATGTCCATTCCGGATCGCCATGCCGTCTCAAATAAAGACATTCTAAGTGTAGTATTGATCCAGGGAAAACGACTAATCCACCATTTTGGTCGACAGCTGCTGATCCTGATGGAACCCGTACTAAAATTGTAGGAGGCGAATTTTCTATATAATCAAATTAAAAAATTATATAGGTAACTTATTATGACATATTTTATAATCATTAATCAATGGTATAATTGAACGACATTGGTTTCAGATGTTCAAGTTTGTTYAGGTCACACATGTGAGGTTAAACTGAATCACTTGACTCGAGTACTAGGGTGTTTCTGACATTTTACGGAAGTGAAAAAAAAGGTAAAGAAAGATACGTTAAGTATCTTGGGACCGTTGTCAAAACCAGACAAACAAACAACTGGTACTGCTCTTATATTTGATTCCAAAATCTTGTTTATCTTTTAAAATCTATATACCTCCAAACCAAACAGTTTTATTTGATCGTTTCGAATAGTAATATGTATTGCCACAATAATTTATCTAAATATTTAATTAATTGGTTGAAGTGGAAAAAGAATAGAGCCTAGAGATATAATATTAGTTAACAATTAATAATAAATATTACTTAGTTTAACTTATACATTTTTTTTTAAATTCCGTATTTATAAAATATACAGTTTTGTCTTAACTTTAAGTTACATTGTTAGTTTATTGGAATTTAATAATTTTACTGATCACTAAAATCAAAAAGCTAAAAAAAAAAATGAATACATGTAAAACTGTCTAATTTTTTAAAGTTATATTGAGACTTTTTTAATAAAAATAGACATGTAGTAAGGATATGAGATAGTATACAGTAGTGGTCGTATGAAAGTGTTTAAAATCAATATAATATCTCACATAAGAAAAATAATTTTATTTTTAAACCAGATTTTTTGAATAAATCTTCGATAAAATTATTTACGCTATGTGTAGACAACATTGCCTAGCAGTAATATCTGCATAAAAACTTGTTAATACGATTTTCAGTTAGGTAAAAATGAACTAGATTTATGTTTTTCTTAGATACAAACCTACTAAGATGCACACAGATATTATTAATATTAATAATTGAATGTACTATTTAGGTAAAGGTATATTTTACTCTTGTTTTAACATACTGTTTTTGTTTTCTTGTAATATACTTAGTCTTTACATATTACTTATATAATACAAAGTTCTTACCATTTATAGTTATATTTTAAAGGCACTAAACTGTAGCCAAGGCATCAAAAAAAAAAAAAAAAAAAAAAAAAAATACGAATACTTATATTATACACAGCATAACACAACTCTTGTTTTCTTTAAGCAAGAAAATGCCAGGGATTAAAAAGACTAATTACTAAAAAAATAATACAGAAAAGGAGAAGGAGTTTTCAACTACGAGAATAAAAATATAACATTTATACAAATTTATTTATGTAATGGAGTATAAAATGTTATATACCTACCAACTAATAATAATAAAAAATAGTCCAAACGAGTAGACACCTAATATAATGAACTACGGGTAAAGTACTTATTTTGAGGTTCTAGAAAATAAATGACTATAAAGTGTTAAGTAACAACATGATGTTTAATTATTGCGTTATATTTTAGTAATGAGTATAATTGGTAGTTACAGACAATTATTTATTACTAACTTGATATTGTAACCTATAGCTCATATTATAATATTGAAATATAATGCTACTAATAACAAAATATAAATTAAGTTTATAGTAGATATACGAGTATATACATATTGTTTTTACATATACGTTAGAATTACGGTTTTTAAAATTTATGAAATATAAATATATGATTTGAAATTAAAGAAAAGTTTGAGTCTTTACCTTTAGATTTGATTTATTAAAAACTATAAATKCTTATTTATTATTGCATATTTCTTGTTTAAGTATAACATAATGTTAAAAAATAATAAAACAAGAAGATTTAAAATCGATTTATCGTAAAACATACAGCTGTGTTATTGCCTATCAATGTAGACACATAGGGACTACATAAATAACTCTTGTTTGGACGAAAATTGTATTTAATGTYATTGTATTTTGGGATAACAAATAAAAGATTAAAAAAATAATTTTGGTTTAACAATGATTGAAGAAAATTCACGTGGAAGTGTAATTTTAAATACGTGCAATATTGTTGAATATTTTAAATATTAGTTTCATAAAAAATATCGACATTGGTAACTAAATTGAATCTAACATAATAATTAGTAATTTTACCCTTTAGTAATTATAATAATTAATACCAGTTAAATAATATAGATAATATGTTATACTATAGTAATAATTATTATAATTCTTTTTTAAATTATAGTGCAATCGAACTATAATTTCAGAAAATTTATAAAAAAAAAATACAGAAATATACACTTTAAAATTTATAATTGCCTGGATATAAGACTAAAATGGAAAAAAATTATTTTATTCTCTACAGTTTGTTAAAAAATATAAATTATTTAAAATATCACGTGTTATATTTTTAATATATTCTTTGCTCAAAACTTTGATTTATAAATTTAATTATGTGATGGAAATGATGGAATGTTATGATGGAATTTTAAATTTAATGTAAGTTCATTGGATTTAATTTAGATGATAAAATCATAAAATATTTTACATTTTAAAAATGTACTATAAATGTTTAGTATAAAGGGTTAAAAATGATGACCTCATAAGTGATAATTTTACTCACATTTATGAACTATAATGTGTGTTKTAGTTTTAATGTAGCAAGAACTTATATTTTAACATAAAATGATTGATCATTTTAGACGTTATAATTAGCTTTTAAAAWAATAAAAAATAAAATTTACGAGGGAAATTATAATTCAACTCTACTCTTATTTATATTACAATTTACACATCTAATACGTTTTTCGTTACCTTTCATCACTTTACTCTCAATGTCTTAAGTCATTTTATTTTCATTAAGTAGAATTTTTGCGAACACTACATGAAGGAAAATATATGAATAAAAAGTAAATATAATTTCAATACGTTTTTCATTCATCAGTTAAAAAATAACAATATATAACAATAATTAAGAACAGTGAAACTCCAAAATAAMGAACGCTGCAATGTTATCTGCTATTCGGATAATCGGATGTGTCCCCTATTCATAGGGTTTACATTGAAAGTTTGTAGTTGGTTCCCAAGAAAACCGTCTACTATTAGGAGACATCTGTTAAAGAGATGAAACATTCATTGATAAATTATTCCTAATAATTTGATTAATAGTAGAATTTATATTTAAACACATGCGCATATTTAATTTCTTTGTTTATATATATTTACGTAAATATTTTAAAATTAGAAAATTTAAATCAGTATTTATGTTTTAATATAGATGGGCGAATTATTCTTAAAACAAACATGTWKTAATAAATATATTATACATAAATATTTTCATAGTACCTAAGTAATTGACTTAGGAATCTACATTAGTATACAAAAAGATACCTAATCATATTGATCCACATTGTTTTAAGACCACTAATCTAAATTATCTGATAGCGTTCATTATTGAGTTACATGTTAGATGTTAGGTGTTATATAGGTACATYTATGTTTTAGATGAGCTCTTAAAATGCTGATGCACTTTAATAGTATATTAAATTATAATATCAGAAATRAAAATACATTTTTAAATTTGAATTYTCTAACTTACGGGTTTTTAGGACTTAAAATAATTTTAAGTATTTGTATTGAAACATTAAATAACTTCGATTTTGTCTTCCAAAGCTATATTTGTAGATTAAATCAATATACATAACTGAAAACACGTCAATAGTAAGTTATTTTATTTCATTTCATTAGACATAACAAAAAATAACCCATTTTATCATGACAAATTAATATAAATTACATTTTGTCAATAATCTAATAATAGTAACGATACTAGGTGTAAAAGTAACAATACCCGAATAATTTGTGAATAGAGTTGTTGGTTGACATTTCGGTATTGGACTAGACCAAATTCCATTGCTACAATTTAATATTGAAGGTCCGCTAAGTTTGTATGTGCCAATAGGTTCTTGACACCGTGCTGATATTGAGCTATTATGTGGAATTGTCGTATTGAATTCCTAAAAAAAAACACAAAGATTATTTGTTAAAATTTAAATCTCTCCATAATTTTGTTTTTTTAATCATATTGTAACAAATTAAGTGTTTTAAAATTTACAACTTAATTTGGAAAAAAAATAATTTACTAATAAAATTTTAAAGTACAAGAAAGTACAATAACCCCATTTGGTTATTATAAAATTGCATTTTGTTAGAATAAATTTCATCCTAGTATCTAAAATTATTCTTATAGGTTTATTTGTTTTTTCGGTATTTTATTTTTATTCTATACCTAYATGACATAACATAGACACATTTATAAAATATAGATGTAAAGATATTATTTATTGTATAAAAAATATAGGCATACATTTTTGTAATTAATCATTCTCTTTTATTTATCTTACTTTATTTTTTTTTTTTTCAATCGTTATGACTCTTTTATATTTGTTACGTATTCGTTGGACGATATTCTACAAGCATTTATTGTCAAGCACTAATAATATAGTATACTGATGTACTTTTGGAAACAACGATTTGAAAATTTTAGAATAATATCCCAATCAATTTCCACCATCTATCTTCAATTATACGATCGCAAAAAAAACAGTAACTGATGTAGAGTACACATTACTTGTAATTTTGATTTTTACGATACAATACTATTTATTGGGAATATAATATTATAATCTATTACAAACGCGTAAAAT